TCCGGATACCTCGGCACAGAGGTCATACATCAGTATGAGGATATCCTTGGTATGCTGGTCACGCTAATAATGCCAGTTAAAGCAAGAAAAATAATTTCCACCAGAGGAATTTAAAAACCGGACGGCAGCCTAATACCTTCATGCATTTGAAAAAGACTTTACAGCGAAACGCGTTGTGCTATTTATGCTTGTGTTTTAATTGTTCCATTTGTGGCTGTCCATGTGAGTGGTTCTATGAAAGTTACATTCATTATTTATATGTTTTACAGTATTGCACTATGAATGTTTCTTGTTGTTATGTATTTTACACAGACATGTACAGAATCAACCGCGAGTAGGAGCGATTTACTATGCATTTACTAAGTATTTTACTGTTGTTATATGTTGTAAATTTTGCACTCCCCTACTTTATTGTGAGTTTTTCACTTTTGAGTATTCTATTCAATTTATATTCCTTTACGTACTATTAAATTCATTTTCTTGCAGCCTTTTTCAGTAGTACCAATAATATAAGGCTTTATTAACTTTATTTTAAGTTATAATACATTTTCTAAAAAAAAAATAAATAAAAAGTAAAAAATTTGTAAACACAAGAAAAAAAGTTGAATATCAAATATTCTAATTGACTGAACTGTGAGGTAACACAATCTAACATAATAAAATGTATTTATTTCTAGATCTTCACCTTTTCTGCATCAAAGAGGAAAAAATAGACAGTTGGTGTTATGAAAACGCTGTACATCTTTAATAAGTTATAGACTGGAACAAAAAAATCAATTGAAAATAGAAGCAGTTTTCAGTACAGATTTGCTTAAGGCATGTTTATTTGATAAAGTTTAGAAGAAGCAGAATATATTGCGCATAAACTTGAATGTATTGTTCATTCACTATATACATGGTCAGAAAATACAATTTCTGTTGGTATTTCTACTGTTAAAGCACAAAGAGTAATATTATATTGATGTCTCTTGACTATAAAATCACTCATAGACAATAGGCAGATTCTTATAAATGCTGGTTCAGTGTAAACCTCTGATATATATTTTTTCTGATGATTCCTTATTTAATGTTAATACTTTTTTGTCTTTTGAATTCCTCATGTTTCAAACATTCCAAAAAACATAAACACTACATCGCCACTATAGTCATGGCACAATCCATTTTACAGTTTTACAACTTACCTCAAACCTTCCATGTGCCTATGGCTGCATTCACTGCATCCTGTGTTCTCCAGCAGAAGAAACCAGATTGTTTTAAAAAGAAAACGGCTATGTATAACTGTACTCATTGTCTGAAAGCATCACTTGAGCATGCTCAGCCAATGAGTGTGCTTCTGAATCATTTGCACTTTACTCTAGAGCAGCATCTGGTTTCTATGGCCGGAGTAGACCAGATGTGGGTGTTGTAGTGCTGAGGCTTGGTGGGACCCAGGATAGTTGTCAAACAATACTAAAACAGTTTGACATCTTGCCTTGTGATGGTGTCATGGCACTTCTAGTTCCATAATCAATAAACTTGCCTCTACTGGTTATGATGCTTGAAGTGTTCCTTCAAATGTATATGTACTAGAAAGAAATGGAAGGGGCTATTAAAAAAATAACCCTGTGTTGTCACGTATGATGCTTTCTCTCACACGCAACACCACAAGGGAGAAGCAACTGGTTGTCACTGCACCAATGCAATACTGGAACAGATGTGGGAAATGCTATGGCTAATTCACAAATTGGAATTTTGAGAAGGCCCCTGCAGCTGTTCTTCAGTGCACTGGTCTGTTCATTGGCATTAGTATTACTTACCTAGAGGTCACTCTTAGTAATTGCTCCCAAAATTTCCCTCAGATGAGGCAAGACCCCACTATGAACAAACCTTGAGTTGTCTATTTGGCCAAATACTGAGCCTTGTGTTACTTCATCACGTGATTGCATTAGTTTCCTTCCCGCTCATTAAGTTTGAAATCATATGTTCCTCTGATATCACAATGTTAGAGCATCCTATTCCTAAATATCCATGTGTTTTAAGCTGCAATACTCTTATATTGTTCTAAGTGCTAAAGAGAATAAATTGTCAACATTCAAAAAAAATAATAATAATAATCATATATAGTGAGTATTTATATCCTGGGAAACATAATTATTATTTTTTTTTTATTCTTTATTTTTTCTTTGACGTAAATTGCGGCATAAAAGATTAGGTTTCTGCAAAAGCCAATTCACAGTATGTACAGTTTTATCATACCATTACAGAAAGAAAGCTTAGGTTTGTTAAGGCATAGGTAATGTCATTCATTGATGTTGAGCATGTGCACGATCTGTCAACGCTTTTTAGAGTTTATACAAACACAAAAATAACAAGAACGATAACTTTAACCAATTCCAGTTGCATTGTTGATACGTTGTGGAGTAGTGCCATTCATAAGTCTCCCTGCCGAACTTGTCTTTTTGAGAGTGTCTAAAATAAAGGGCACCATATCCCCTCCATCCAGAGAGCCATTCTCCTTGCCCCTCGCCCAAGCATCCTTCAGGGGGTCCCCCGCCAAGGCTCCTTTATGAGCCGTGACCCTGACCAGTTGCGCCCTGAGAGAGCCCGAGAGGTCAAGCGGCGGTTAGCATCCCATAGTCCCATCCATATACTCTCTGTGGCTCTATGTTTCCGAGATATGTTTTGGCCTCAGGACTGGTTCAGTAGGCCTAAGGGGTCTATGTTGCCGTCTTTCATGGTGGAGTCTCTGAATTTTAGGCGGTATCCATCTGTTATTAAGCTGTGTGTGCGTGATTATCTGCAGTAGGAGTCATCATTGAATAGGCACTGTCTTACCCCAGTCATCTGTCTATGATTCGCTACTGCCTTTGCTTGGTAAGTATCATAGGTACTTTCTCGCCTGTGTGTCTAGTAGGCTGAGCATTCCCTGGTCCCTTTGCATTCTTGGTTTGTGGGTGTCCTTGTTGAGACAGGTGTGCCTCTCGGTGTCAGACAGTGGTTCGGTTCTCTATAGTGGTATCTTGCCTCTTGCTCCCTGATGCCTGTGGGATGGGACCCCTCCTCAAACACCACCCTTTCCAGGAGAGTGAGCATGAGTTAGACACCCCAGTCCATTCCCTAGTGCCTGTAGATTAGTTCTCATATTCCTCCCATAAATCCCAGACCTTCCTGAAGGTGTTGGTTGTGTTTTGGACCTGTGCCATTAGATAATTATTACTAAGAATATCAGAGGTAACTCGACATTTGTGCCATTGCCCTACGTGCCACTAAGTCAATCATATCTAGTAATTTTTGTTCATATTTACCCAGAACGTCTAGGGGCCTGGAGAGCAAGCATCCCAAGGGATTTAGCTTTCTTTGCAAAAATTTGGAAGCTTAAGTCTACTACCTACTACTACTACTAAGTCTGTTACTCTTGGGCATTGCCACCACATATGATATATATAGCTTCCTTTTCCCCTGCAGAGGTGCCAGCAAATGTTGGTGGGGCTCAATTTCATATGACATTGCTTAACTGGTGTTGTGTACCACAAGAACAGTGTTTTGTAGCACTGCTCCTGTAGTGTGACACACATAGATATTTTAGAACAGGCCTCCCATATGTCCTGCCAGGCTATGCCTTTTAACACCTCCCCCAGATCCGCTTCCCAATGGTCTGTGTATCGTAATTGTCCCCATTCCTTGAATTCCGATCTGATATGTTGGTATAGTGTTGTTATTAGATCAGGGGTCATCGGGGAGGGGACACCCCTCAGGGCGTACCTTTGTACCGTCTGGTCCCATATCTGTATGGAGTTTGTTAAGGCTGGGCAAGTGGTTCTCAAAAAAGCTCTGTGGGTCTTTGGAACCCATCTATAAAATTGGGGTAAGTCTGCTCCCGTAAATATGTATTCAATAGCTACCCATCTTCTGTGTTCTGGGGGGGAATTCCAGTATACTATTTGCGCTAGTTGTGTTGCTAAATAGTAGTGGTATAAGTTGGGTAAACCCAAACCCCCTCTAGTTTTAGGTCTATATAGGAGATTGCTGGCCAGCCTAGGGCTTTTTTTCTGCCAGATAAAGGTGTCTATTCCCTTTTGTATGTTTGCTAAGTCTCCTCTGGTGACCCTTACTGGTAGTGCTTGGAACAGGAACAGCAGTCTGGGGAGTACATTCATTTTTATTGAGTGTAGACGTCCTATCCATGAGATGGGTTTGTCTTTCCATCTCTCTAGATCCCCTGTCAGGGTGCGGAAAAGAGGAGAGTAATTATATTGGTAAACGGAGGCCGGATAGGCAGTGAGGCGAATTCCCAGGCACGTAAATGCATCTGTTTCAATTTTAAGATGGTAGCTCTTTCGAATGGTTGCCGTGTCTTGGGTCAAGAAGTGGAAGGGCATAGCCACCGATTTAGTTAGGCTGACCTTATATCCTGCAATGTCACCGTACTGGGTCAGTATTGTTTCGAGTCTGGCCATGGTTCTTACAAGATCAGTGATAGTGAGAAGCAGGAATTTAAATTGGTTTGCCACACATGCTGTCTAGTATACAATGGATGGGTAACTTTCAGCAAGGTGTGCAGCGATTCTACCAATATCGGTATAAACAAACAAACACTGTCATGTTGTATAGTGTTCAATATATGGCATGTGTCCCCCCAAGAAGCGCATATCGTCCCTTACTGGTGTTTGTACAGGTATTTTATGTGCGCAGCCATGTATAATGTGTAGCAGTATTTTGCATTTAGCTGCACCACTCCGTTGGACGACAAGTCCGTCCTAGCAGATGATAATTAAGTTTATGTTCTTCTGTATTTGAGAATTGCTTTTTTGGTCGAGAAGTAATGAAATCTAATTATGATGTCTCGTGGCATCATGTCTTCCTTTCTTCGAGCGCGTACTGCATGGTGTGCTCTATCTATCACTCATCTGTTGTCAGGTATATCTGGGATCAAGTGCTTGAAATAGTGCCCCATTTTTTCTATGAGAGGGCCCTCATTAGGTGCCTCCTGTAGGCCGTGGACCCGAATATTGTTCCTCCACTAACATCTCCAGGTCTCCTAGCTGTTTCTCCATAGCTTGTGAGTGTGTGGTCACCATGTTGTGATCCTGTACCACGGTCTCAACCCTTGCCTCCAGGTCTGATGTGCGTGCCCCCAGGGCCTGGATCATAGCCTTTACCTCTCGTGAACTGTGGGCTATTTCACCATCTAGATATTTCTGTACCTCCATTAACTGAGTAAGTACTTGGGAGGTCTCTCCTTGTTGTGTGTCCGGCGACAGTGAGCCCCACGGACTTGCTCGACGGCCATGTTGTGCAGCCTGTGGTATGCGCGAGGTGGCAAAGAGGTCGGCCACTGTGAGATTGGTTTTCATTCCCTCTCCCCTCCTTTTTTGAGTTGGCTTCACTTCCAGCGTTCATGTTGGACATGTGGAGTTGCGGGTTTGTGTGGTTCGATGCTTGTTACAGGTGCTTGATATTAAGTGGATTAGCGGGAGCTCCTAAATCAGGTGGCCATTCAGATCAGCAGTCAGACCACGCCCCGGTACACATTAATTTATGTGTGCTGGCAAAGGTGGTATTTTCTTTTTTTCACTGAATGGTGTTGTGTCAAAAGGATGTGAGGATGAGTTAAGAAATATTGCAAATTGAAGTTGTAGTGAAGCACATGAAAGACTGCAGTTCAAGATAGTCCTAAAAATAGGCTAAAAGTAATAAGAGTACTGGAAAAAGATCCATGGTAGTATGGTAGCAAAGGGTTCTATGTACAAAAAACTAATATAAAACATAATAATAGGAAGCTGGATTGGGGAAGGGAAAGGAAAAAATAATAAGATTTTAATTATTCTAAAATTATTAGCCCTTAATTTTAGTGACATTTTTGTCTTAGATATTAAGCTATGGCATTTTAGGCATTAGTTAATTATGCTGACTAATTATTTTGACATTTAGTTTTTACTTTATCTTGGCATAATTATTTTTATAATAATTTATTTATATTTAAATATTTGATCATGAGCTGCTTTCAATTCTTTTTTTTCTTCATTCTTTAAGTTTGAGCAGCGAGAACAATCTAATGACATTGACAGAACAATAAAAATACAGGTCAATAGTAAATAATACATCAGACATCCATTAAGTGCTATAAGATGCTCTAAAATGCACCTAAAATGAGGAGTTGTATGTGACTACATCAGTGAGAACATCCACGTTATAATTACATTGATTATCGCATAGATATTTATTGTTTGAAGCATGACAATCTCAGAGCATCGTCATCTACTGTCAGAATGCAGGAAATCTAGAGTTATAATATCATATCCCCCAAGGATTTTAGCTCCTGTTTTGGGGGAACTCCCCATTCAGGAGTGCAAGAAAGGGAAAGGAAAAAGTGAAAAAACAGAAAAAGAAAGCAGAGAAGAGGAAAAGAAGAAAAAGACAAGAAAGGTCAAAATGTAAAATAGACAGAGTGACCCCCAGCCATCCCCATGTCCAGACCCCCATTCCCAATGACACCAAACAGCCCATTCAGCCCTAGAGGTTGCCAATGTAAGTCTACCATGGTTCTGACACCTTTACCCAGGTTTTCATTAGTTCCCCTGACTTTGGTGGACAGGGTCCATCAGATAATTCTCTTTAAGTTGTCCATCTGATAATTGTCTTTACGTTTTAGGCGTGCTGTATCGATGGAAGTTATGGCAGGATGCAACCATGTCTGAGCTAACACTCATTGGGTCGCTAAAGTTATTTTATGGAGCAGTTTTTTTTTAATGCTGGTGCACCCATCAATGGGTCTGGACAGTAAAAAGGCCCAGGGTCTATGAATACTTTCTTGTTAAAAATGTTTGTTACTATTTTTCTCCCCTTCCCCAAAAGCATCTGTACCTGTGGTCACTGCCACCACATATGTTTGTATGTACCTCATAGCCCACATAGATTTCAGCTTCCAGATTAAATCATTGGGAACTCTGCACAAGTGATACAATTTGACAGGGGTGGTACCACCTAAAATTGTCTTGTAAGACTGCTCTTGCTTGGTTACGCTTGGTTTCGAGCATAGTATCCATTGTGTTGGATTTTTCCTAGAAAGTCTTCCTTGACCATTGTAAGGAGTGTGCCATATCTGTAAGTAATTTGTTTTTGATGGAGTGATGAAAGGGCTGTAATTCCACTAATTTGGCAGGATTGGGGTTGTTTTTGTGTTGTTGTTCAGTCCATTGATTAACCCCATTTGTCTAATGAAATTATGGACTAATTTGTCCTGGCCACATAGACCATGAGAGCACTGAAGCCCTGGGCGTGTACTTCTATCAACGGCAGGACACAGCACTGCATTAAAATCTCCCCCAAATAATACAATCCCATGAGGTAAAGCACTGATTGCAAATGCCAATTCATTCCGGAATGCTGGCACTGGTATATTCGGAGAATATAGATTGACAAAGTGGAAATAACCGTCCTGTTATTATAATGTAATGTCTCTCTGGATCTAAAACAGTCAGGGAAATCGGTAGTGCACAGCGTTTGTGAATAAGGATTGTAACTCCATTGGTTTTACTGTGTGCCCAGCCTCCTAAACAGTGCTGTAAATGTAGTCTTTAAGTGGAACTGCTTTCAGTTCTTATTAGTGTATTATGAGGAGAGAATATATCAACGTTAGTACTAATAACTCATTTATCTTGTAGTGCACATGTATCTATTATTTCATCCAGGTGATTTTCCAAATAATATTGTAGTTTTGGGTTCTGGGATATTGGATGCCTATGACAGAATTATTTAGTTTACATTGCAGTTTTCGCCAGTATAAATGATGCAATTTCTGAATATCATGTGGTTTATAAGTATCGAAAAAAGGGTGATCAGAGAGGGCAGGCAAACCCCAGGCATGCATTTCTCAGCAGTGGTGAGAAAGTATATAAAAAAACTACAGTTTAAGGGATCAGCACACACAAAAAAAATAAATACAGTTTTAAATCTTACAAGGCTACTTAGTCCCTTTCGTCTCCTTCTCCCCTTCACTCTTTGTTTGTGCCACCCATGATTATTATTACTATTGGTTACACATTCATACTGTAATATTCTGTACCTCGATTTTCATTTAAAACTGTAGACCAGTGGTTCCCAAACCAGTCCTCGTGGCCCACCAACAGTCCAGGATTTATGTATTTCCCTGTTTTATTCCAATGGAGATACTAACAAAACCTGGACTGTTGGTGGATCTTGAGGACTGGTTTGGGAAACGCTGCTGTAGACTATTATCAATTGTGCTCTGTTTGACAGTATGTATGTAATATTTGGAAATTTTTAATATGATTTATAAATGGGAAAAAGACATATAACTGTTTGTACTAAAATATATATATATATATATATATATTTCCTGGCCATATCCCTGGCAGCGCAACATTGGGTACCTCCTCCCTATACCTAATTAGACAGGAACTAATTAAAATTACGAGTTTAAGTACCCCCTCCTACACCTTCCTCCCTCATTTTTTTTGTTCCTGACCTATCCCTATAAGACAACTAGTCATTTCAGAACTAAAAATATTTTTCTTTGTGGCTAACCTGAGGGTCTTGACCTTCTGTCCCCAAGGGAGTTTAGCATCTCTTCCTTGGGAAGTCTTCAGTACATGGCTCTGTGCAAAGGTGTCCCCCTGAAGATACCCATTTAGTGACCAGGGGTTAAACTTGTAGTGACCCTGGGGGTAGCAAGAGAAAAAAATGCCAATGAAATGGATTCCCTGCAGATACCATAAAGTTGCAGGAAGTGGCAAGAAAAATTCTCAACATGGAGTACATACAATCCTATTTCTTTAAATGATCTGGCATCTCACTGTATAGATATGTGAAAGGCAAATGCCTGAAATTGTGGGAGGGGTTATTTGTCCTATTTAAACACCCCGTAACCCCTGCTTACCTGTCATCATTGTTTCGGAAGTTCTTCTGTTCTGCTTCCGGTTCACAAACACCCTGACGTCATTTCTACCCGCTGGCCGTCTGTACGAATACAGCTATCCAATTTACTTTCCTGCAAATTCGTGAGTATGTAAAAAAAACAACACAGCCGTCACACAAACACGGTCCCTTTGCAGCATACATTCTACAAACGGTAAGTAGTTCGGTTATACGAACACCATGTGTTTCGTACGTTTTCGCATACAAATCATATCAATTCGTTTATATTCTCAGTTCGTTTAAATGAATGCATGCTTTAAACTGCTTCGTTCTTCTATGTCTTTTACAGACACTTCATTCGTATGGGTGAAAGCATACGAACGGCGTTTGTGTATTAAGTTTGTGCCGTTTATACCCAAGTTAGTTCATACAATTGTCAGGTTCAATGCTGTTCGTGCAAAATTTTACAAACACCAATTGGTTAGACGGTCTCCCGTTCGTGTATTTTCTTTCTCAGGAATTGAAATTCGTATGCTAGTGACAATTCACTAAGTTTTATGCATTACTGTTCGACTATTTATGTGAATTCTTATCTATACTCTAAATATGCTGTATGTCATCCAGCTCAGGAGAAGCTTCACTAATTACTTAACAATTTAACGGTTCAAAATTTCTTGGTGTCAAACTCGTTAATAATCGCTAATACCAGTTCAAATAGAGAATCAAAGAATTTCTCAAATAATAATGAATGTTTCAATAATTTCAAGTTATATTTTCTTTCTCTCTCTATTTCTCCCTCCCCTTGTTTTCCCCCTTTTTTCCCCTTCCATCTCCTTTTCCTCATTCCTGCCTAATCCTTCAGGATCTCAGCAATCGCTTCCTGGGGGAGAATCTCATTTTAACTCGCTGTAGCTCAGGAATTTCCTTTGAGAAATACTGGTTAGTAAATTTCATTATAATTTATTTCCCTCGTCATCTAAATAAAATGTATATTTGTCTTGTTCTGCTAGTTTTTAGCTTTATATAAGCATACGAAACATTTACGATTCCAAGGTTATAAAAATGATCTATAGGAACTTCTCCAAAACCATTGTTAGGTATGAAGTAACCTTCTCGCCAACTAGGTAAAAAAATGTCATAGGCTTCTTCATCTTAGTTGAGTGGTCCCGCAAGGCCAACTCCCATCCTCACGCTCGGAGGTATAAGTCCAACGGCCCAATGCATAGCTAGAGCCTTGCATTATGTTATAGTCAGGGCCTCACCTGTCACGACCAATCTATCTTAAATCTGGTAAACATCACCGAGAGGCCGACACCCCGCCACTTACGTCAGTGGCATCAAGAAAGCCCCAGGCGCCAAATCATAGGTATAGCCTCTCAAGCCACTTGGCAATTAGTTAGGTCCTCACCTGTCACCAAACTAATTACAGTAATATAATTTCACCACTTGGCACTAGTAATAGGCAGCAGATTTACTT